AAATTGAATGTCCAGTACGATACTGAACTTGTGCTGACCGACTTTTCTAAATTCTGTACGACCCTGTAAGATGTATAATTGAGACCTTTTATGTCCCTCCAATACAACATGGGCACCCATACGAACTTTCAAAGCTTTACCTCCACCGAAGAACTCATAACCTTTTGAATCAAGGGTAGACAACAAGATGTGATTGTTTTTCAAATTCGAAACATGTCGAACGTGGCCAAGTATTCTAATTGTTCCATTCAAAAGCTTCAATTTGATTGTACCAATTTCAGCAACCCTACAAGGTGCGTTGTTTTCCGTAGCCACGACACTTTCGAAAACACTTTCATATGTAGTAAATAAGTCTTTATTAAGATACATATGAAACGCATATGCTGAATCAAGAATCCAATTCTCCTTTGGTTTCGACTTGACGTCAGAATCAGCCAAGGCACCTCCATTAATGTTCTCCGCGAGGTCTGCTTTGCATGAAGTATCTGATTTCTTCCAATATCGACTTGCAGCCAACCTTTCTTTATTCTGCAATTAGTAGCAATCCTTCTTTATGTGTCACTTCTTTTTGCATTAGTTACAAATCTGATTACTGAACTTAAGACTTTGATCTGCCTCTTTCAGAACCACTTGAGCAACTAGGCTTTCTCCATCTTTGGCCTCAGAAACCAAATGTTTCATCTTCTCTTTTGAATACAAACAATCATACACATTCTCTATGGTGAGAGTATCACTGCTATACAAAACCGTGTCTCTAAATGAAGAAAACGAAGCGGGCAATGAACACAATAGGATCAATGCCAAATCTTTTTCATCATACTCTAATTCCAAATTTTACAAATCAGCGATGATCTCTTTAAATATAGTCAGGTGATCTTCCAATGATCTTCCTTCTGCCATTCGATGAGAGTATAAATGTTGCTTAAGGTTCAAATAGCTTGTCAGACTTTTAGTCATGCACAATTGTTCGAACTTTAACCATAGAGAAGTTGCTGAAACCTCCTTCAAAATGTCCAGAAGAAGAGTATTTGATAGATGAAGATGAATGTGAGAAATTGTCTTCTTATCCTTCCGTAATTTTTCCTCCTCGGTCAAAGTTGCAGGCATCTTGTCAATTTTCAGTAATGCATCATCAAAATCCAACAGTGCGAGTACTTACGCATTTTAACCTGCCATAATGAAAATCTAGTGCTCCAATACAAAAGCGCAATGTCATACTTCATGGAAGCCATTACGAACAAAAACCTCGAACAAATCAAAATCTGCGCTCTTACGGAACTGCTGAACCGGACGCTCTGATACCACTTGTTACACAACAAATAAGATAACAAAATCGCTCTGATACCACTTGTTATGAAACCAACCACTAGAATGAATTGTTGAAGTTATATGGCAAATAATGAAGTATTAGATCAAGTAAAAGAATAATAAAAACAAGAAATATGGTAGATGAGTTAAAAGAATTTATTGATTCAAAAATAATGGAGAAGAGAGAAAATTACAACAAATTATAAATTCTAGTATTCTATTTTCTCACACTTATTAAATTGTATAGAATTGCCTAATATTTATAGGGAATATGTAGGGGACGTCCAAACTCTCTTAGTAGATTTGTTGATGAAGTATGATGCCAAAAAATCGAGTCTAAAATGAAAAGGGAGAGTAATATGCGGAAAACCCGAAACAGGTTAGGTCGGCGTCGGGCGTTCTGCCAAAAAAGATAAAATTTTTTTGTTCTCAAATTGTTTTCTCCATCTCGAACTCTTCTTAAAGTCAAATACTAATTTTCAACTTCCAATGAGCTTCCAAAATAGTAATTCAACTTGACATATGACTCAAATAATATTTCAAACTGAATTCTTATTGACATGCAATTCAATTGGAATTCTTTAATACTTCAAACAAGGAATTCGGGTCACACATAAATTCTAACAACAGCACAATTTTAAAGATTACTTAGAAAGATTTATAGGTGGCAGAACAATATTTATTTATTTATTTTCCACAATGTTGTAGGAAGATGTGGCTTTGTTAAAGAAAGTGGGCTTAGACTCTTACAGATTTTCAATAGCATGGACCAGAGTATTGCCAGGTATATATATAATATGAAGAATACAAATCACTTTGTGCATCATTTGTCAAAGACAAAAAAAATTGGGTGAAATTCTATTTAATTTCATTTTTTCTTTATTGGTATTTTAGGGGGAAGATTATCTGCTGGGATAAACAAAGAAGGAATCAAGTACTATAATGATCTTATAGACTTGCTTTTGGCTGAAGGTTTTTATTTTCTTTTATTTTTTAACAATGTTGTTTGTTTCTATTTAAAAAGATAAAAATGTTACCTTTCTCATTCTCAAATTTACTTTTGTGTAGGCATTGAACCGTGTGCAACTATTTTCCACTGGGATGTTCCCCAATGTTTGGAAGAAGAGTACGGTGGCTTCTTGAGCCCTCGAATTGTGTAAGTAACCAAATCTTGCATGACAAGGCACCTTTTCTTTGGATATTTGAATCGTATATCTATAAGAAAACAATGCAAATTCAAAGGAAGTTAAGATATCTAATTCCTCTAGAAACTAATAGCCCTTCAAATTCTTTTATCAAGTCAAGCTCTTATACACAAATTACATATGATCCTAATCATATATGAATATATTGATAATTTTTCTTAATATTTAATAGGAAAGATTATTGTGAGTTTGCCGAGCTTTGCTTTTGGGAATTCGGTGCTCGAGTGAAACATTGGATCACACTGAATGAGCCGATGTCCTTTGCTGTTCAAGGATATGCATTGGGTGGTTTTGCGCCTGGTCGTGGTCCAACTTCGGCAGAGCCTGTAAAGGCTATCCATCCTCATAGATGTAAACTTGGGGCTCCAACTCCTTGCTCTAATGGAAATCCGGGCACGGAACCATATATTGTGGGACACCATTTGATCCTTTCTCATGCAGAAGCGGTAGATATCTACAGGAAAAGATATCAGGTGACAATTACAATATATTATTAGTATCATGAAAGAAACTTCATATACATTTCATTGATTTGGTTTCTGTATTTCTTACAAACACGTGTAGGCACATCAAGGAGGCAAGATAGGAATAACAAATGTCACTCATTGGTATGAGCCACTCACTGACACCATAGCTGATAAAGAGGCCGTTTCCAGGGCCCTCGATTTTACGTTGGGATGGTGAGTGACTTTACTAATTTTATCTTT